ATTTAACGCTCTAGTAAACCCATTGATCACTTTTTAGTTGATGGTCAATTTATAATTAATGTCATTTTATAAAACGATGAACTACCTTTGAAGTCTTGAACCAGTTTGTTGTAATTATATGTATATTAAGTATAATTTCGGAGCTGAGCAAAGAGTTTCCAGCAATCTGATTGGTCGAGCGGTTCCTTATATGATGCTATATAAACCACTCCGCGCGGTTTATATAAAATGTTAAACTAAAATGTTAATAAATGTTACTAAAATGTTATTTTTAGAAATTCCTCTGTTGTTTAGCTTTGAAATTATACTAAAACAATTATTTGCCTCAGGTTCAGTGAATATTGTCGAATAATCCCCTTGACTTCGTCTCGGGGATTATTCGACGCTTTCCACCTTGCCTTCGGCGAATAATTGTTAAATATATATAATATGGGGATCCATATCGGTTCTCCCCCATCCTAGCATCAGCACTGCAATGATGAGGCCCAGAAGACCGAAACAGTACTGTCTGCTGTTAGATATAGCTCTTTGGCATACAAAGCTCTGCTTTCAGGTCCAAATTGAGCACTGTGGGATGAGTCATCGCCACTAGCATTGTGCATAGCTCACTAGGCTCTTCTAGTTTGAGCACTCTAGCATGGCTTAGACGATACCACAAGTTTGGGGATCCATGTCGGTTCTCCCCCATCCTAGCATCAGCACTGCACTGATGAGGCCCAGAAGGCCAAAACAGTACTGTCTGCAGTTATATATATATATATATATATATGTATGTTTATATCACTGCGACGTGTGGCAGTGAGAGCACTTGCCTCCCAGCACTGTGGCCCAGTTCGATTTATAGACCTGGCATAATGTGGGTTGAGTTTGTTGTTGGTTCTAATCCTTGCTCTAAGGGTTTTTCTCTGGGTCCTCCAGTTTTCCTCCGTCCACAAAAACCAACATTCCAAATTTCAATTCAATCTGTAAACGGTGGACAAGAAGAGCCACCCAATGGAATGTCCATTGCTAGATTATTATTGATATTATTATGTTCTTAAAGTTGCATTACTTAATATCTCTATGATGTAGTTGTTGCCTCAAATACAACATTAACATGGTAATTAAGGTCTAACAAAGCATTGTTTAGAGCACCATGGCCAATGAATAGTTGGCGTTCACAGTTGTGGGTTTACTTATTGACAGACCTTGAACAAAGTTATCCATTACATTTAACTTATGGTTGAAGTTGGTCCAATGTCCAAAGTTCAGTGTTTCTAATCACATTGTTGATAACTGGGATTCACTCCCATTTTCAATTGGATCAGCATCTAGTATCTCAAGTTTTAAGCTTGGTGTGAGGAACTTCTTAATGTATCCAAACTACACTGGTAAAATTATCAAAAACTCAGTCACACATTTTAGAATTTTTATATCAGATTTAAGTTAATCATATTAAATTATATTTTCAAACTACATAGTCAGGTGGTCTGTCTGAGGAGGGGGTCTTGGACTCTTACAGACCATCCTTATAGCAACCATCCTTTGTTATAAGTAATTATTTTATTTTCTTCATTTCCATTAAATTGTAATAAATACATGAAACAATCCACAAGTTGTTGGCAGGGAGGATATCACTGATTTTTACTGGAAACTGTTTTGTCTATCGGCAGATAACATTCTGAAACCAGCAATGTTTTTTTTGGAAAGTGCTCATGTCACATTATATGAAGGGAAAAACTTCAATTCTTCTTCTACAACTGTTGTTGTGTTTTCAGAGCAAAAACATGGGGCCTAAGGACACACTAGGTTTTGGCATGGAAACACGGATTTTGAGTTGTTTACATGGTTGATTTCTATTCTCTTGTTTTGAGGCAGTGTTTTCCTTGCCACTTTTCTCTTGCAAAACAACTTCCAAAACCTTTGTACACCCCCTAAATATTTTAAAAAATTAATTTTTTCCTTAAAAACTTTGGAAATAGGAAAACTTTAATTTAATTTTTAATTTATTAGATTTGCCGACAGGCAGGGACACCGCAACAGATTGCGCCAATTACTGCGGGCCCAGTAATCCCACCCATCCCACCCCAGGGGAGGACATCCACCACACAGTAATCTCATGCATGGATAATTAACGTCTCCTACCCCTAACTCTTCAGGAGACGGGGCCTACAGTTTATTTGTCCTTATCCGAGAAGACTAGAATATCTATCCATTTCTTGATGTTATAGAAAGGTAGCAAATTCTCCTCCGTTATTTTAAGACCCTGAGTGTTGGTCGGGCTGGGGCTTGAACCCTTGACCTCCCGCACAACAGTCCAGCGCTCTACCAAATTGAGCTAACCAGTAGGCAGTTAATGCCTTCAACGACAATAAAATGCCTCAGTTTTAAATGCCAGTTCCTAATTATATTGTCAAAAATTTTCCTTCATTTCAAACCTGGCATGTTGACCACATACCTTTGATGTTGTTCAGCTATGTTTGAAATCTATACATAAATATCTATGGGCAGATAACAATTTGGAACCAGCAATATTTGTTTTCGAAAGTGCTCATGTCACTTTATGTGAAGAGGAAACATTTGATTCTTTTTCAACAACTGTTGTTGTGTTTTCAGGGCAAAAATGTGGGGCCTAAATGGCAAATTGTAGTATTTGCCTTCAATTAACTAAAGTCATAGTATTTTAAAGAATTATCTGTCCTGTAATACTCTCACTGACAAGTAAACGGCTCAGAATGTCTGTCTTACATACAAGTAGTTCACCCGCAGTTTTGTTGGCAATGGATATTTTTTAAAATAGAGTATACAATGCATAGCAGGTTTTCATCCATGGCCTAGTTGGACAGTCAGCTAAATATAAAAATCTTTTAAGATTTAATTGAAATTTGAAAGTAGGAAACAAATCAGAACAGGGCTCCAGGCTCAAAATTTTTCAAATGCAGTTTGGAGAACTTAATCAAGAAAAAATGACACACTCTTTAATACAGCCTGGAGACTTACATGTAGCTGACTGACATTATATGCCGATATTTTCACGTAAGTGACACTCACTTTGACTTTGGATCAGTTACAGCTTGCTGTGTGGCTAACCATTACATTGGTAGCCAAATAAGCAACTCTTTCTGCCAATTTTGTGGCCAGAATTTTGACTCAGTGCCAGCAATCAATCACAGCTGGAAGCATTGGAGAATGACAGTTATGATCTGATCACAAAAACAAGAGGTAAGTCATGCACAACAAGATTACAGCTACTGGTTCATTAATAACTAGTAGACATTTGAACTTACAGGAGGGATGAATTTTTTTTCCCTTCATTTTCCAGGAAATGGTTTTCTACATTCAGATATTTAATAATCTTGGATGGAAGTGGTAATTCATGGAGCTTATCGCACCTAGAATTTTGTCGAATAACAAACCTGCAAAGATGTTGGAGAGAGGGAAGTTCCTCAAACCTTGAAACTGGTGTTGTAAGTCGAATGGGAAAAGTGGGAAAACCTAGGAAACTTGATGCCTTTGAAAAACACATCGGCCCCTTTAGGGACATTTTCATGGATTTCTTGATGAGTCCTACAACTGTTTTAGTTCCTGTTTCATCTGGAGGAGCAACAAAATAAAATATTCCATTTCTGAAGCGAATCCTTGTATGACAGGTTCTTCCTCTACACCTGTAACTTACACTGTACAAGTGGAATTCATGGAAGCTGTCCCTAACCAAAAAGCAACCATCAGGTTTATCTTGCAAGAAAACCTCAGCTTCAAACTGGTCTATGGGCCCCCAGTACCAGCTGTAATGGGAAAGAGACTCTAAAGATTTGGTTAGTGGAACAGAATATTGCTGGCAGTTCGTTTTAGTTGCTGTTTGCTGACACTTAGCATTCAACTGCTTCTCTACGCCTTCAATGGTCGGCACCCCCTGGACTCCTCCACTACATGGGTCTAGTTCATCGAGCGATAATGTCAACGATTTTACAATTTGTCTATGTTTAATTCTGGTAAATTGCGATTTTACAGATCTGGGAGGAGGAGGGGGAGGAACTGCTCTTTTCTGTGCTAATTCTATGTGCGGATCTCCCTGTGCAGCTTCGCAATGCAGCCAGGTGGATGTGCTGCAGGTGTCACCAGCTTGTTTATTACGTGCAAACATGTCCTCCTTTCTTTTTGCCTTCATTTCCTTGGATTGCATTCGGAAAGAAAACGACTTTGATCGAGAACGTTTCGCCCCTGTTGTATTGAAATAGCGATCTTTTGCGAAGCCAGGAAAACTTAACGTTTTGTGCTTCAAAGAAAGTCTTTTCGTAGTAGTGGGTAATTCATCATCTTCGATGCTTGAATACGCTGCCAAAGATTCATTTGTTTCTTCAGAATCAAAATGTTCTCCTAACGAATCCTCTGACAATCTACGACGTCGAAATTTCTCCCTGAGTTTGAGTAATATGTTCTTTTTCTCAACAACAGTGTCCTCTGTTGGCGAGGCAGCTAAACCTTGATCTACTTCATCAGTTCCTGTTTCCAAACTTTCTTCTCCAGCAGATGTTCTTTCCACTCCTTCAATCTCGTTTGAATTCTCATCTGATGCATTTCCAATGAAGTCGTAGACTTGCTCTTCTCCTTCTCTTTCCGACTCGTCCATGGTCCACGCCAATAGCTGAGAGGAAAAGCGTCTAAAAATGATTACAAGTTGGATAAACGCCTCTGGCAACGAATTGTCCGGGTTCTCGTGCCACACTTGAGAGTGTTGCCATACCCAAATCACCGAACTTACTCTGTATTATAAACGTTTAAGCGTCAGTTAGAGGGTATCTTTCATGACAGAAAATGAATTTCAAATATTCTGAGGAAGGGACGACTTCTAGAGACCATACACAATGTTGATGAGCTTCTTCCGCTTCACTGGTAGGCACACATGTTGTGGACATGACAAAATGGTTACATACAATCAATAGCTGTTTTCTGAAAGCCGCTGGAGAGCTATCACAGGGTACCGTGGAAACATTAACTCGCTAATTCTGATCAATTCTCCCAATTCTGGATCTTTCTGGTTAATTTCTTATTTTGTGATCGTTTTATAATTTCTCAGGATTATGGATACTTAATTTTCCTCGTATAAAGCTCCTGAAATGGTTTTTTGAAATGAACATCGCTTTCTCATTCGGGTTGTTGGTTCTTTTGTGGAGGCAGATTTCTTCCTCGTTTATTGATGTAACCGAACGAGTTGGTATTTCAGCAATCAATGGCTATTTGGCAGCGTTTGGCGATTTTAATGGAGATAAACAGACCGACTTGTTCCTTGTTACTCGTGGAGGTAATATTCTTGTCCTTCAGGTGCAAAATAAAGAATCCAGGACAAGGCGGTAGTATGTTATAAAATTGAAATAAACTTTGTAATTAGACAGATTATATATTCTTGTGTATGTTGCATGTGCTGCAGTAAGTGATTGAAAACGTATGAAAAAACTACTCGCATTACTTCCATCTCTATGAGATTTTTATGAAACAGTCTCATAAAGTCTGTTAGTTTAATAGCAGCACATCTTGCCCCTGGCCACAACAGCGAACGCTCCTTAATGTGTTGGGAGACCAGTAGATCAAATCCAGAAGATGTCTCTTTAAATTGCTAAGCCCTCATATGATTACTGTAATCTCTGTGTTAACTTGCTGACATTTTTACGTTTTAGGACTTAAATGTTGCTACAAGAGTAAATGTAGTTATGAGACAGTGTGTTCCTTTTAATGTTGGAGTACATAATTGTCCAAATGAACTGTCCAACAGTTTTGTGAAGACAAAGTAAATACTTAATGTTTACCCATCCCTGTTGTTATCCTTGTAACTTATTTCCTTTAGGGAATAAGATAACTTGGTTTTATCAACTAAGTTGAATGAATTGGCCACTGATACACGATTAACATCAAAAATACATTTTGTATCTAAAGAATGATTTATGGAAACTTTTCAATTAGAGGATCATTTACATGGAACAACTTGGCATGTGATATTAGAGGCATAGATTCATTTCATTTGTTTTAGAAGTTACTAAAATAATACATCCAAAATCTATGATATTAAGTGCACAAGGGTGTTTGTAATAGCTGTATTATCATAGAAAAAATTTTGAAAGTGTATTTAGTTTGCCCATCCCTGTTACTATCAATTGAAACTATGTACACCAGCAGAAAATTAATACTATTGCTAGATCTCCTGCTTCATCTAGAGCAATCCAGCTGCATCTAATATTATCTGTAATTTGTTACAAAGGGTGAAATTAATGGCAGGAGCCAGACTGGCCCGCCAACAAGTTTCTAAGCTAATGTTTTCAAGCATTGTCCCTTTGTCAAAGCAAGTTTCACTCTGATGAAGGGCTAATGCTTGAAATGTCAGCTTAGAAACTCTTTACAGTGGCAAATTTACATCAACTTAGTTATTAAATCCGAATTATCTTGTTATACTCCCCTACTGATTTTTATTCATTTATCGTTTAGGGAATTATTTGGAAATATTTTTGTGGAGTGAATCAGAGCAGAAGTTTAGCAAAGGAGGGGTTTTAATTTCACTGCAGAGGTAAGTACTTTGTGATGATATAGAGACATGTAACACTATATGACATGTTGAAGATACATAACTTTGTATATGGGAGACTCAGACGGCCTTTCCTCTTTGGCTTAAGAAACTGAGTATTTTCACAAATAAATTTTCAACTTCCTTGAGGGTATCATTTATTTGATATTTGTTTGAGTTCTTTCTGGTTTACATCTACTTCATTGCTGTAGCTTTCATTGATAAATCTAACAGTTCTGCTTTTTTCATTCCTTTGCCATCATCACCCATCTGAATGTCTCTCTCTCACAAATAATTTTTCACTCTCCCCCATTGAATTTCAAGAATTTTTCACTAGTTATCACTACTACAGCCCTTTATTCTTTAAACTAATTAGAGTGACTTTGTACTTAGCCTCCTTCTCACACCATAATTTTGGCACTGGATCACTAAACCGCAAAAACTTGGAAATGATCTATTGAAAAAGTTTTGTTTGATTTATTAGAATAGATTCTAAAGGCACATTATTTACTCTGAGGGGTTATTAATTCATTTCTTGCCAAAAAAAAACTAAGGATTAGCACAAAATTTCTTTTTTCAAAGGTAAAGTTGATGTTTGCAGCATGTTCTATATGTGATCTATGAATCTAAGGAAGAAGTGAATGACTGTTTAGAATGCTAATGACTAGCTTGCTTGATAACAACAACAACTACAGCATTGACTTTATTTTTTTAAAAATTAAAGAAATAAAGGCCTTTGTAGCCCGCAGTTAGCAAAGCTATTCTAGGTGAGCTACCTAAACAGACACTGTATAGGCTCTCACATACACACACACACACACACACACACACACACACACACATACACACACACACAC